CCCCAGTGGCGATGTTTACTACAGAGCACCGCACCAGATACTGATATTTGAGGCCGAGTGGACCACATGCACACAGGCGCACGCATTCACGGTCTCACAAGGCGTCACACAAACCGGCACTGCGCTTGAAAACAAACGGCGCACAGTGACGTTGATGCAATGTGATCACCCCGGCCGATGGCAACGTGGCTTTTAATTTCATTCTGTGTAACATTTGGGACGAATTACCAAGTGAACATCAACAAGCTTTGCCAACAACAAAATGAAAAGAACAAAAAAACATCTTCTTATAAATACAACCCAGCAGTTCCCAGATTCAGACGATTAAGATTTAGACAAATATTAATGTGCCGAATGCTAAAGGGCAGTTTAAAACACAAATGTATATATACAGGGTTGTTATATTAATTTGAACAAATCACGTAGGGTTGTTTAATTTATGTTAACACTGGCATTGCAACATTTGAATTGTGTAACTTTTAAGTTAATAGACCTATTATCATTATTAACATACATTTTGTCTTAAATTCTTCCTTTTCACGTGAAGATAAAAAAAATGGAATAGGAATAGAAACGAAGACGAACTTTTATCCCGCATTAACGTAAGTCAGTTCGAACGTTCGTTAAAATATTTAAGACCGAAACAGGAGGAGGATTTCTTCACAATTCTCGAAACGTCTTCTTGGTTCTTTCGGTAAAGTCACGTATTATTATATTATTTTATTTTATTATGTTTTATTTTTATTATTTTATTGCTTCCCTTCTACGTGACTTTACCGAAAGAACCAAGAAGATGGATCCCTGCAGTCACGAAAGCTTTAAATCGAAAAAATTCTCGAAACGATTTGTAAATATGCTGCAGCTGCAGCGGGCTTTACTCTCCAACACGAAACCAGTTAGTGCTGAACTAGTAACGAGTTGGCAAGTTTTGTTTACGTGACAAACCCTTCATGATTGTCCGTGTCGGATGGTGGCGAGTTTAACGACGCATATTTACCCGATCTAACCCAACAAAAAACCTCAGATATTGGTCGAGAAAGCCTCTACGTGTTAAACATTGGTTAAAATAAATTCGGTAACCCTACGTGGTTTGTTCAAACTAAACATAATGACGTGTCACCCGTGTATATTTAAACATCACGGCAACCGAGCCACAGGTCTTTTGGCGTCATCTGGTCCAACACCATGTGAGACTAGGCTCTAAAGAAAGCTGTCTCGGGTGTGGACCAATCAACTTCAAGGACAGTGCATATATTATCAGAGTTATGTTTTTTGTTTGCATTATGGCTGCAGGCATTGTGGTCTATGCAAACATGACTCCTTGTAAAAAAAAGGTGTCAGTTTTGTTGCCAGATAGAAGGGTAAAAAAAACAATTATCAGATCCTTAAAACGCCAGCAACAAACAGCACCGTTCAAGGCGAAATCGTCACAGGGATTTGCGATTAAAAAAAAAATTTGCTTGACTTGAGTGCCGATTAATTATTCGTAACAAAACCTTATGGGTTGCATTTTAAACGGAAACATCCTTTCCTGAAAATGGCCCCATACAACTCCTGTACTCATAACCAGGATAAGCACCATCATAGATGTTTTGGGGTGAGATCGCGTCAATATAAATGTGTCGTTAAACCCGCCACCACCCAACACAGCCAATCGGTCAGGGGTTTTGTCACGTAAACAGAACGTGACCAATTCGTTACTCGTTCAGCACTGACCGGTTGTGTGTTGGAGAGTAAAAAATTAACCCGTAAAAACAAAGTTTTTCACTATAAATCCTTAATATGCGTGGCATCGGGGCGGCTAGAGTCCTCTTGTCCTCTGGCTTGAGATGGCTGCCACCTATGGGTCAGATGATTGTGTGCCAGCATTAACCAATTGGTAAAATTTTTTTTTTTTAATTCCCTAAAAACAGTGTAAAATTTTGGAAATTTTTTTTTCACGAAAATTAATTGTCACACACAACGAGTCTGTGTGCAAAACGTCAGCTCGATTGGATCACGGGAAGTGGGTTAAAAAACGACCGAAAGATTTGCACGGTCCTAAGCAAGCAAGCGAACTTAATATAAAGGATTTAAAACACAACACGTGTCCACGGGTCTCACACTTGCACACGTGGTCGAAATCGATCCAATCGCAGACGGCTCTAATCGCTACCTGGAAACTCCCCACGCAGCAACAGACGAAATCAACGAAACGGTGGCTGCGAAGGAGCCATCGTTGTTTTGTCACGCGGGTGAGTTACCACAGCTTTGCCACGAACACAATAATGGAAATTATAAAATAACAAAAATAAAACAATCACATTCTCATGACGTTTCGATTGCAACACAAGCAATCATCATCATCAGGTGTGAAAACCACCACAGCAAGAAAATTGGTTTATTTGTATTATTTTACTATTTCCCTTCTACGTGACTTTACCGAAAGAACCATGAATATGAATCCCCGCAGTCACGAACAGCTTTAAATCGAAACAATTATGGAAATGTAACATTGCCCCGTGTAACCCAGCCAAGGCGGCGCTGACCAATGCTTCCACACGAGGCCCACGCGGCCAGCTCGCCAGACCATGGGTGGAAAATAAGTATAACCCGTAAAAACAAAGTTTTTCACGATAAATCCTTTATATGCGTGGCAGCTAGAGTCCTCTCGTCCTCTGGCTTGAGATGGCTGCCACCTATGGGTCAGATAATTGCATTGCACCATTAAGCAATTGGTAATTAAATATATTTTTGTCCTAAAAAGTGTAAAATTTTGGAAATAAATTTTCACGAACATTAATTGTCACGCACAACGAGTCTGTGTGGAAAATGTCAGCTCGATTGGATCACGGGAAGTGGGTTAAAAAACGACCGAAAGATTTGCACGGTCCTAAGCAAGCAAGCGAACTTAATATAAAGGATTTTTTAAAAAACGATTTTTCCAGCGGCAGGCATCGGGTTTTTTTCTTTAATACAATTAAACCCGGGGAATTAGAACCTGGTTTAATGAATACGAAACTCTGATCCAAGGCTTAGGCTGCTTCCTCGTCGGTGCTGCTATCATCGTACTCGGGGGGGCCGTCGGGCACACGGGGCAGTCGTAGAATGCGGCGGGCAGGTTGGTCTTGATGAACACGGGCTTCTCCACAATCGTGGGCGCCAGTGAGTTCCTTAGCTTGGGGAATGGATGAAGCCCATCGTTGAGAAGTTGGCAAAGTGCGGTTCTGCAATTAGAACCAATTAAACCGGATTTCTCACAATCTCAGATGATCGGGTTTAATATCAAAAGACAATTAAACCCGATTGCAAAAAACCCGACTGTGCCACCCTTGCGCCAGACACCCCCCTGGAGCAAAGCGATCAGCACAGATCACTCTGCAGTGAGCAGGCCACACGTAGCAAGACCACGTGGTCACGAAAGCCACAAAGCAAGACCACGTGGTTCTCAGGCCACACGAGGCAAGGCCATGTGGTCACGAAGGCCACACAATGCAAGGCCACGCGATCACACAGGTCACACAATGCAAGACCACGTGGTTCTCAGGCCACACAAAGACCACGTCGTTGTCAGGCCACGCACAGGACTACATTTGTTTAAAAAAAAGGGGGCACATTTCTGTACTAGTTAAGGTAAAGAAATCATCATTTTTAAAAAACGGCTGAGATGTTTAACGCAATGGCACATGGAAGGCGCGTTTAAGATTACGGAGTTTTCCGTTGGGAAGAGAAACACTTTGGCGTCTATACGAACAACTTTCAACTCTTCGCCGTTTCCGATCGTTAACGCCGACAAAAATGTGTTTTGACTACAAAGACGCGCACAGAAATACAAACTTTGCGAGAAACAACATTGGTAGCGTAACTGCAGGCCACGATTTTGAATCATATTTGCAATCACATTTCCCCCCCCCCCCCCCCCCCCCCACATGGTTGTAAAGGTTCAAGAAATTACATGGCAACATCACCGAACACACGCGCGACTCCAAAGATCCCCTCCCGCAAAGCCATTAACAGGCTGCTGGGGCACACCCCGCATCAAGTACCCACTTGCGGCCGAATCGCCCTAGGGGAGGCCCAGTTATTCGTCACCGATATTAACCGTGAGCGGGAATCCAAACTCGGGTCGCCGGGTTGGTAGCGCAGCGCACCAAGGGTCCCATAAGTGTTCTCATTAAAACACCAGGGCTGGGTGGGGAGGGGCTGGTCACCCCGTGGTGCCCTTATAAAACTCAACGTTTAACCTACTCACGCCGGCTTGTGCCCGCCCTCACAGTCGGGAATATTTGCGGAATACACCACGCCGCCGTTGACCCTGGCCATTGACCGAGCAACCCAACGTTCCTACCAGCTCCCTCCGCAGGACCACCACACGCGTACCACGCTCGTACCACTTGTACCACACACACGCACGTTCCATGCTCGCGTACAGCAAACCCTGACGCGCGCGCGCACGCGTAAATTCGTTACCGAACGAGCGCTCCAGACAGGCCGAGCCAGCCACGTGGGCGGTGGGCATTCAAAGCATCAACTGCGCACGGCGATTTAACTCGATGGAGAATCGTCAAAATTACCAACAGCCATGGTCAATCCACTGCTGGGCGAGGGTTTTGCCAAGCCACTTTGGATGGTTAACGTTGCAGCAGCGGCGGCGGTCTTCGTGCACCCGACGCAAGGCGACACAACGCGCATCGCGCTCAGATCGCGCGAGCAAAATGTGCATTGTCCACCGCTCGACGTGGCGACGTGGTTATTATTCTTAGGTTTTATCGGTAAAGTCACCAGGTAGGTAAAAACATTAAAAAGTAAAATAAAATAAAAAATCACGACGTTTCGGAGGCAACACAAGCTTCCGTCTTCAGGTGGTACCGTCACAGCCACGACAGCTGCATCAAGTAAGCTGTCGTGGCTGTGACGGTACCACCTGAAGACGGAAGCTTGTGTTGCCTCCGAAACGTCGTGATTTTTTATTTTACTTTTTAATGTTTTTACCTACGTGACTTTACAGAAAAAACCTAAGAATATGAATCATTGCAGTCACAAAAGCTTCAAATCTAGACGTGGTTATTGCGCAATCATGGCACGGACGAGACGTGGGGGGGTGGGGGGGGGAAGGAAGAGCAGTGAGGTGTCGGTCAAGGACCGAACCCCGAGACGCGACGTGGAAACTTTCCAGTACGCAGCGAGATTTTGCTGCACGGCTCCAGTTCGAAAACTCCTGTCCACCCTCGCAGCAGCAGCAGCGGTGGCGGCTTTTGGCTGCTCGCCATTGAACAGAGACGGTCACCGGCATCGCGCGGCGCCTTCAGATGCGCTTCTGGGGCCGTCTGGAACGCTCTTCCTTCCGATATTAAGAAGCCACTGGGAGCTACACACTTTTAAATCATCATCGAGATTGAAAACTAATTTCTTGAGGTCTGTTACTTGTGTGGCTAGCGGCGGCTCTGGATGGGCGCAATGGGCTGGTGGTAACCCTTCCCACCTTCGCCATTAACAAGCAGAGACCCACGCAAAGAAATTCCTGGCACACTCAAACACGCTTGTGCCACACATACGAACCAAGATCCCCAGTGTAGCCTTCAAGAGACTGTTGGCTTAAGTCTTGTTAAGTGAACACCTATTTAAGGTTAGCACGGTGTACAAGAAAGTGGGTGACCAACACCACATCCGGGCTGACTTTGTCTCCCCAGTGCTGATGTGTTTACAAACCACACCAGGTACTTATTTAAGGCCGAGTCGTCCTAGGGGAGGGCCCAGGACTGATTCATAACATTCGCCAACATCGACGGTGGTGAGTGGGAATCGAACCTCGGGGTGGCCGGCTTCGTAGCGCAGTGCGCTAACGACAGGACTTGCTGCTCGCCACAAACACGCACACCCCACGGCCTCGCACCAATGCACACGGGCGCAAGCAACCACACTTTAACAGGCACTGCATGAAACATCTAAATCCTGCATTCGAAGCAATCCCCGCTTCCCTCCCCTCCCCTACCCCGACGTAAAAAAACTAAAATCGCGGAATTGTCGCCCACGAGTACAAGAAAATCGCATGATGGCAGTACCAGTGATGTGAAACTCTCAAAACGCACAAACCTTTATTTTAACAAAACCAAACCTCTGCAACAAAAAGGGGATCGTCTCCCAACCCCCCACCCTTGCGATTTTATTTTGGTTCTTCTAGCAGGGGTGTCTTCAGTCAACTTAGAAAACAATCCGTTTAAAATGACACTGGCTAAGAAATGCGTTGTTTTTAGATTTCATTCGTAAAAAAATCGACGGGAACACACCGGCCGTGCTGGTCGTGTGAGAATGGCACCGTGAGCAAAAGGATGAGAGGAGGAGGTGGGGGGGGGGGGGGGGGGGGGGGGGCTGTGGGTGGGGGCAGCCGGTTCCGTACGTTCATCGCTGCCAGCGCTACCGTGCGTGTGCATGTCCGTGCGTCCGCGTGCGTTTTATAGAAAAGGGAAGCATGATTTCGCGAAGCTCTGGCACGTTCAAAATCCCGGGGTGGTCCCCACCCTGGGAAGGCTGGAATCCGGAATCTTGTAAACTTGTTTGTGGATGTCCGTCTAGAAGTCGCGGAAGATGGCAACATCAGTCTGAAAAGACAAAACATTTTTTTAGAGAAAACAAACAAAGATACCCCCCCCCCCCGTATAGCCTTAAAAGACTGTTGGGGCAAGTGCTGTTAGCGAGCACCTATGAAGGCCGGAACGGCACACGAGGGTTCGGTGGCCAGTACCGTGCCCCAGTGGGCGATGTTTACACACCGCACCAGCTACTCATTCGAGGCCGAGTGGAACGATTGGAGGGCCCATGACCGGTTCAGACAATCGTCACTGGTGTTGGCCTTGAGCGGGAATCGAACTCGGGAAATCCAGGTTCATGGCGCAGCGCGTTAACCACTACATTACCGCTCCCCCCACGGGGGTCAGGCTACACGGAGCGGCGTCTCTGTTCAGGCCAACGTTTGAACTCGGAAACCCACGGTGGCTTCATTGCCGTGGCCACGGGTTTCTCCCGGACGAGGCGGCGGTTTTAACGGATTACAAAACACAAGCCCAACCGCGGGCGAATGACAAACTCGGACACATCATTGGTGACAATGCCACCGCTTTAAAAAGGCACTTGCTGTCCATATTATCTCCCGTACTTCAGGTTTTTCCCTCCCCTTGACCAACAACATATTTATCGATTTGTATCGCATTTGCGCGTGTACGTCCGCGCGTGTGTTGTGTGCCCACGTCTCGTGCGTCCCCGAGTAAGTACGCAAAGCGTGCGTGTCAGTGTGTCAGCGTGTGCGCGTGAGCGTGTGCTTGTCAGCGTGTGCGCGTCAGCGTGTGCGTGTCAGCGCGTGTGTCAGCGTGCCTGTCAGCGTGTGCGTGTCAGCGTGTGCGTGTCAGCGTGTGCGTGTCAGCGCGCGTGTCAGCGCGCGTGTCAGCGTGTGTGTGTCAGCGTGTGCCAGCGTGTGCCAGCGTGTGTGTCAGCGTGTACCAGCGTGTGCCAGCGTGTGTGTCAGCGTGTGCCAGCGTGTGTGTCGGCGTGCATGTGTCAGCGTGTGCCAGCGTGTGTGTCAGCGTGCATGTCAGCGTGTGCGCGTCGGCGTGTGCGTCAGCGTGCGTGTCAGCGTGCGTGTCAGCGTGCATGTCAGCGTGTGCGTCAGCGCGCGTGCCAATGTACGCACGTTTGCGCGCGTTGCAGCGTGGGGCGCACTAGAGCACGGTGCAGGAACGCGGCTCGCGGAACGGGTTGGTTGCCGCGGGGACCCCCGTGAGCAGCGCGTCCTTGTGCACGTTCTGGAGGCAGAACTGCTGCAGCTCCGCGGCCGCCTGCGACACCTGCGGCAACAGCAAAAACAAAGATAAAGACAAAGATCCCCCGTGTAGCCCTAACAGACCGCGGGGGCAAGTGCTGTCAGCGAGCGCCCGTAAAGGCCGGCACGGCACACGAGGGGGTGGGTTGGCAAGCGCCACGCCCGGCCGCCTTTGCCCCCCTTCGCGCCAGGTACTCATTTGAGGCCGAGTCGACCTAGGGGAGGCCCAGGACCGGTTCAGATAATCGTCGCTGGTGTTGGCCGTGAGCGGGAATCGAACCCGGGTCGCCAAGTTCGTAGCGGAGCGTGGCGCTAACCGGAAAACTTACGCGGTAAAAGGACGGCAAATATGTGGAGACGCCGATGACTTCATAAACTGATCATTTCAAATGTCGTCACGCCTTTCCTCCACCTCACCCCTATGTCACGACGTGGCGTCATCACCCCCCCCCCGTCTCTGTGTTATTGTTACAAAGACGGTTTATGCATCGGCCGCCGTCAGGTGCGTTTCTGCGGCCGTCTGGAACGCTCTGCCTTTCGATACGAGGAAGCCGGCGAAGAGTTATGTTTTTTGTTTGCATTCCGACTGCAGGTATTGTGGTCCATGCAAACATGACTCCTCGTAAAAAAGTGTCAGTTTTGTTGCCAGATAGAAGGGTAAAAAAACAATTATCATATTTTGCTACTGGCAAATGAGGTTCCAATGGTATTATATACATGTCCTTATAAGGTCACACGCGATGTTATCGACGAATGCGGCGCGTTGTTTTTTTTTATCATCACCGATCTAGAGAATGGCAGCTTTTGTGTTTACCAAATTCTAAACAAATGGCTCTTCTTGTAAGCTCGCTTGCCGACCCCCGACCCAGGGTAACGAGTTAACGCGCGATTCCACAGACCCATTCAAGTACTAGCCAGGCTCAACTCCGAGCTTAGCGTACGAGGTTTCTTGTCCTTCCCCCGCACATCCGATGTGCACGGTTGGCTGCGTACGGTGCGAGAGAAGTTCAAGGTACGTACAAGCGCCGCGCTAGTTTGAGATTCTGGGCGGTCGATGGAACAGAACGGGGGCGAGATGAGAACTTGTCGAACCAGTCAGTGCGGTGACAACTCCTTCAAGCCTCAGTGAGAGACCGCCACCATCTCACGGCACCGCTGCCGCTCCGAGTTTCCGCCTCGAGTTTCATTCTCGGCGCAGCGGGTAAGGCGCCATTTCACGTTCGCTTTCAGGCCTTGGTAACGGAGAGCCGCCGTGCATAAAGCAAGACACAAACCAGAACAACAAACAGCTCCTCATCACCATCATCATCCACGATTAATCCAACGCTGGATGAGGTCCCTCCCCGTGTCGTCACAAATCGATCGCGCCTCTGCCATGTGACCATCCACGCAGAGCATGAACACAAGCAAATCGCGTCACAAGGATTCATTAAACGAGAAAGCGGAGCAGATAAATTGCTTCCCAGCTATGCATTTAGGACGGCACTCTGAAGACAATATTCCAGTCTTATTTTTTTTTTATCCAGTCTGGTGCAAGTCAGGCGTTACTCGCACCTCCGATTGGTGCATTGCTGGTTAGCGCGGTTGGCTATGTATGGGGTGAAAGAAGTTCAACATTCATATACACTCAGCTGCAACCATTGGGTATCGTTGGTTAAAACCCTGGCAGACACTTGCGATTAAAAACCGGGTTCTTAAGGGTAATGAGTGGATGGTCTCTCACCCCAGTCACACAAAATAAGATACAATTTTGATTCGAAGCTTTCGTGACTGCAGGAATCCATACTCTTTGGTCCTATGGGTAAAGTCACGTGGGTATGAAATAAAATAAATAAATCACGACGTTTCGATCGCCTACACAAGCGGTCGTCCTCAGGCGGAAGAAATATAATTCAGCAGTGGAACTGCTGAACGTTATTTTATACCTACGTGACTTTACCGAAAAAACCAAAGAGTATACAAGTATAACCCGTAAAAACTAAGTTTTTCACTATAAATCCTTTATATGCGTGGCGGCTAGAGTCCTCTCGTCCTCTGGCTTGAGATGGCTGCCACCTATGGGTCAGATGATTGCATTGCACCATTAAGCAATTGGTAATTAAATATATTTTTGTCCTAAAAAGTGTAAAATTTTGGAATTTTATTTTCACGAACATTAATTGTCGCGCACAACGAGTCTGTGTGCAAAATGTCAGCTCGATTGGATCACGGGAAGTGAGTTAAAAAACCACCGAAAGATTTGCACGGTCGTAAGCAAGCAAGCGAACTTAATATAAAGGATTTAAAAATAAGATACAATTTTGGCCTGCACTAAATTTGGCTAAATCTCACAGCTCTGAGAATGTTAAATTACGAGTTTAACTGCCGCGTGATTAAACATTGTTCTTTTTCGGGCAGGGTGGTAGGGAATATGCTGCCCTCCATACCGCGTAGACCAGAAATCACTTGAAACATTCTCAGGCAGCAGAGCTCTGTGACACCCGCATCTGTGTGCCGTAATCTACCACAACAAACAATAATTTATAATAAGTATAATAACCCGTAAAAACAAAGTTTTTCACTATAAATCCTTTATATGCGTGGCGGCTAGAGTCCTCTGGCTTGAGATGGCTGCCACCTATGGGTCAGATGATTGTCTGCCAGTATTAAGCAATTAGTAATTAAATATTTAATTTGTTTTCCCTAAACAGTGCAAAATTTTGGAAAAACATTTTCACGAACATTAATTGTCTCGCACAACAAGTCTGTGTGCAAAATGTCAGCTCGATTGGATCACGGGAAGTTGGTTAAAAAACGACCGAAAGATTTGCACAGTCGTAAGCAAGCAAGCACGCAAGCAAGCAAGCAAGCGAACTTAATATAAAGAATTTAAAAAGAACACTTAAGACTGGTGCCGTCTCAAGCCACGTATCGCTACTGGCAATGTGAACCAAACTAAACACCGAGCGCCTTGGGAGCCTGGCGTGGCGTAGCGGGCATGCGACCCAGCGCTTTGGGAAAGCAGGGTTAACGGATCCCGCCGAGATTCACCCATCACGTGCTGTGGGACGGGCATCTCCGCAAGGCACCGAGGTGGCAGTACAGAGCAGAGGGATTCACAACCCCGCCTCTGCATTACTCCCTGGAATGCGTGGTGGGTATTACAGGTAGGAACAACAGTTGCACACTGCCCACCAGGATTACACTGGTCAACAAAAAAAAAAAAATTTTCTGGCCTGGACTTTTGCAGCTGTTCTAGACTAATTTCAGGGTGCCGATTCCAAATCTGATCTCAGATTTGCTCTATCACATCTCATTTTTATGCTATCGGCATACCCCATTTTCATTGATTTTACCCGAAATTAACTCTGTCACTTATGATTGCAAGTTGCTGCGAGTCAGTGACTGCTTTAGTGTTAAAATAAGGTGCTATATGTTTAGGATAGTGTGTTTATAATATCATTTTATGTAGATATCCACATTTATTTAATATTTCTCTTCTGCAGTTTTTATTGAAAATGCAACATTTGATATCTCAAAAACCTGATGTGATAGACAAAAACTGATGCCAGATTTGGAATCAGCACCCCAAAATTACATTAAAACCGTTGGAATACCTTATGCCAGAAAAAGTGTGTTGACCAGTGAATTATTTGTCTGTCTGTCGTATATAGCCACACCCTCAATTTGTATTTCATAGAGCGCTTCGGGCGGGCTCAGCATCACGTGACGCGCCACGTGACACGGATCGCACGAATTCGCCGTCCAACCAAGTTCCTACCTGCCCACTCCGAATGAACGTGTTTTCTGGGATTATCCGAATAGATTTATATTGACAGAACTACTGGCCTAGGTGTTTGCCGTCGAGGCGTACAGCTCTCCAATGTGCTTTGCGGTTGTTGTTCGACGCGATGTGTCCGACGTTTCAATCGACGAGCTTCTTCAGGGATCAATTCGAGCAGTTTATGCTCTCGATGGATGACAGAGCGTCCCCGCCGCCGCCGCCTCTGCCGTTGGTGGCCGATGCAGGCCGGCCCAGCTGATGTTGTGAATTTACTTCGTCTGGGAAGAAACCGGAGCGCCCGGAGAAAGGTCGTGCGACGACCAACGTTTGCATGCGAGGTGCAACACAGAGGTCGCAAACGGCTTTTGATTCCTTACCCGTACCCGTAACCTACCCGATACCCGGCTACCCGTACCCGCCCGGGTATCGGGTAGGGTACGGGTATCGGGTACCCGATTGCGACCTCTGGGATGAAGCCACGTTGCAGGCGCGGGTGGGTTGATTCTAGGAACTTGAATTGTGAGAAGAGACAAGACGTTGGGAAATGAGTGACAAACGGTTACTCACCAGTGACTCACGGCCCACCCGTACTCGGCCGCACCAGGGTCGCAAACGGGTACCCGTACCCGGCTGGGTACGGGTAGCCGTACCAGTATCTGGCCGGTACGGGTAGCCGGGTATCGGGTAGGGTACGGGTATCGGGTACCCGGTTGCGACCTCTGGTGCAACACGAGTGCTCGGGGAGAGTTGGTCACTTTTGCGTGCGAGGCGGAACGCCGGGGGTGGTACCTGCAAGAACGCTCAGCAGAGGGTGATATTAAGCAAACATCCCAATGCAGGAGGCCGAATGAAAGTCTTCGAGGCTTTCGTGTTTAAAGCAGATGTATGTGGTGATAGGTTTTTACCCTTTCAACTGGTACAAAAACTGATAACTTTATACAAGGCATCATGTTTGCAATAACCACAACACAAGCAGTCAAAATGCAAACGAAAAGAAACAACTCTGATGATGATAATGATATGCACTGTCATTATCATCATCAGAGTTGTTTCTTTTTGTTTGCATTTTGACTGCTTGTGTTGTGGTTATTGCAAACATGATGCCTTGTATAAAGGTGTCAGTTTTTGTACCAGTTGAAAGGGTAAAAACCTATCACTATATTTTGCCACCGGTAAAGGAGATGTCTCAGTGCAGGTGTATGTGTTCATACAAGGCATACGTACTACTCTTTGGTTCGTTCGGCAATGTCACGTAGGTAGAAATCAAATAAAACAAATCACGACGTTTCGATCGCAACACAAGCAATCTTCATCAGGTGGAACAACCGCAGCAAGAAAATGCTGAAGTATGCGAGAGAGAGCTGCCGTGGCAAGAGGTTATGTGGGTAAGAGAGGGGGGAGGTAAGGGGGGAGGGCCAGGCAAACGCACGCACGCCCGGCCGCGTTTGTATCCCCAAGTTTCCCCCCCAACACACACACATCGCATCAGGGTACTCAGTTGAGGCCGAGTCGACCGAGGGTAAGGAGGGGGGGCCCCCCAGGAACCGGTTCAAAGGAGGGGCCCCCCAAGAGACTGATTCACAAGGGAGGGGCCCCCCAGAAACCGGTTCACAAGGGCCCCCCCCCCAAGAAACCGGTTCACAAAGAAGGGGACACCCCCAAGAAACCGGTTCACAAAGGAGGGGCCCCCCAGGGACCAGTTCACAAGGGAGGGCCCCCCAAGGGACTGATTCACAAGGGAGGGGCCCCCCAGAAACCGGTTCACAAGGGCCCCCCCCTCAAAAAACCGGTTCACAAAGGAGGGGCCCCCCAGGGACCAGTTCACAAGGGGAAATGTCGTGGGTTTCGCGATCCCGACACCTGAACGCTCGCCTCTGTGTATCTGGAGTTCGCGGCGTCTCTATGCCTCCACGTTTAGAATCAACATCACTCGTTTAGAGTTACACGTAGTCCCCGACTTACGATGGAGATGCGTTACGACGACCCCATCGTAAGTCGAAAATATCGTAAGTCGGACCATCGTAAGTCGGAAATATCGTAAGTCGAAACATCGTAAGTCGAAAAAACTGTAAGTCGGAACATTGTAAGTCGAAAATTTCGTAAGTCGGATCATCGTAAGTTGAAAATGTCGTAAGTCGGAACATTGTAAGTCGAAATATCGTAAGTCCGACCATCGTAAGTCGAAAATATCGTAAGTGGGAACATCGTAAGTAGAAAATATCGTAAGTCGAAAATATCGTAAGTCGGAAATATCGTAAGTCGGACCAATGTAAATCGAAAATATCGTAAGTTGGGGACTACCTGTATTTGTTTATAAATGTACACGTGACGATGATGATGTTGCCCACTTCGTTGATCTATCAAACTTGTGACGAGCCACGTCGCTTCTTTTAAAAACAAAATAAAATCTCGATACCGTCCACAGCCTCAGTTGGGGGGGGTACAATCACCTGGTTAAGTGAATAAATAAAGTTCTCATTTCAATCCATACTCTTTGGTTCTTTCGGTAAAGTCACGCAGCTATACAATTACATTACTACAATTTTATTTTCAAGTCACCTAGTTATGAGGTAAACTTATCCGCGAATGACGAAAACTCAGGGCCGCACCTTCACTCGCTCGATGCTCGCCTCGACGCGAAGCTGCTCCACGAGTCGCCTCATGGCCGAGATGCTGCCCGCGTTGTTCGACATCTCTTCGTCTTCTTCCTCCTCCTCTGTTCTCTCGTGAAATCTCCTCACGGCTCTCGTTCCTTCTTCACGCAACAGCCGCGAACGACGACGACGACGATCTGGACCCAACTCGGCCGCGCCTTTTCCGCCAGAAACCGCCCCCCCTCCACCCACCCCCACCTCGTGAGCCCTTCCCAGCACCCCCCGCGGGCGATGGAGGACGAGGAGCTAAGCGGCAGCCATCTTACTAAGGGAGAGAGGAAGAGACCGCCCGCTTAGAGGCCGCCATCTTACTAAGGGAGGGAAAAGACCGCTTAGAGGCCGCCATCTTACCAGGGGAGGGGGGGATAGAGCGTTCGTTTATAGGCCGCCATCTTACCAGGGGAGGGGGGGATAGAGCGTTCGTTTAGAGGCCGCCATCTTACCAAGGGAGGAGGGAAAAAAACGTCCGCTTAGTGACCGCCATCTTACCAAGGGAAGGGGAATAGACCGTCCGCTTAGAGGCCGCCATCTTACCAAGGGAGGGGGAATAGACCGTCCGCTTAGAGGCCGCCATCTTACCAGGAGAGGGGGAAAAAGAACGTCCGCTTAGAGGCCGCCATCTTACTAAGGGAGGGAAAAGACCGTCCGCTTAGAGGCCGCCATCTTACCAAGGGAAGGGGGAATAGACCGTCCGCTTAAAGGCCGCCATCTTACCAGGGGAGGGGGGGAATAGACCGTCAACTTAGAGGCCGCCATCTTACCAAGGGAGGGGGAATAGACCGTCCGCTTAGAGGCCGCCATCTTACCAAGGGAGGGGGAATAGACCGTCCGCTTAGAGGCCGCCATCTTACCAAGGGAGGGGGAATAGACCGTCCGCTTAGAGGCCGCCATCTTACCAAGGGAGGAGGGAAAAGAACGTCCGCTTTGAGGCCGCCATCTTACTAAGGGAGGGAAAAGAACGTCCGCTTGGAGGCCGCCATCTTACCAAGGGAGGGAAAAGAACGTCCGCTTAGAGGCCGCCATCTTACTAAGGGAGGGAAAAGAACGTCCGCTTAGAGGCCGTCATCTTACCAAGGGAGGAGGGAAAAGAACGTCCGCTTAGAGGCCGCCATCTTACCAAGGGAGGGTGGATTAGACCGTCCGCTTAGAGGCCGCCATGTTACCAAGGGAGGAAAAAGAACGTCCGCTTAGAGGCCGCCATCTTACTAAGGGAAAGAAAATAACGTCCACTTAGAGGCCGCCATCTTACTAAGGGAGTGAGGGGGGGAATAGACCGTCCGCTTAGAGGCCGCCATCTTACCAAGGGGTGTTGGGAGGGGGTGGCGCTTGTAGTCCGTCATCTTACCAAGGGGTGTGGGGGGGGCCGCTTATAGTCCGTCATCTTACTAAGGGAGGGGGAAAGACCGTCCGCTTAGAGGCCGCCATCTTACCAAGGGAGGGGGAATAGACCGTCCGCTTAGAGGCCGCCATCTTACCAAGGGAGGAGGGAAAAGAACGTCCGCTTTGAGGCCGCCATCTTACTAAGGGAGGGAAAAGAACGTCCGCTTGGAGGCCGCCATCTTACCAAGGGAGGGGAAAGAACGTCCGCTTAGAGGCCGCCATCTTACTAAGGGAGGGAAAAGAACGTCCGCTTAGAGGCCGTCATCAACCTAAGAATATGAGGCTACTTTGCTTGGAGGCTAAATTGTCGGCAGAGGGCAGTGCAGCACAAGATGCATTCTAGATTTGAGGTTTTCGTGACTGCAGGGATCCATACTCTTTGGTTCTTTCGGTAAAGTCACGTAGGTAGAAATAAAATTTCAGCAAATTAAATTAAATTTACATAACGAAACGTCGTGATTTATTTTAATTTAATTTATTTAAATTGTATTTTCACGTAGGTATAATTATCGACGTTTCGGGCGCAACACAAGCGTCCGTCACCAGGTGGGATAATCACAGCAAGAAACAATTTCAACTATGTCTTGCTGTGGTTTAATTTTAAATCTACGTGACTTTACCGAAAGAACCAAAGAATATGTGTCCCTGCAGTCAACTTCAAATCTAGAATGTCCTATTCTTGTTTCGCATGGCTGCTGATGTAAATGGCAGAGCAGCAACTACAATTTCACATTCCGGTGGTCAGGCCAGTCAACTGCGTCAGAAGTAAGTGCAGTGGATCGCTGTGATGTCTCCTTCGTATTGGTGGGTCACGGCATGTTGTAGGGTATGTGCTGGATGACCAAAAGAGTTTTTTTTATTTCCCATTTGTGCATTTGGTATCCACATCTGCAATGCTTTGTGCAGCGGGTGCGATTTAGGGTGGACCATGAACTTGGTGGAAGATCAAACCCCATGGATCTTCTGCGTTGTGTCTATCACGTGGTTAAATTTCGATTGAAAGCTTTCGTGACTGCAGGGATTCATCTTCTTGGTTCTTTCGGTAAAGTCATCACGTAGAAGGGAAATAATAAAATAATAAAAATAAAACAATAAAATAATTCTCACGACGTTTCGGCCACAACGCAAGCAGCCGTCCTCAGGTGAAGAACAGGTCTGTCGGAAAGACAGCGTCTTTTCGACAGACCTGTTCTTCACCTGTGGCCGAAACGTCGTGAGAATTATTTTATTGGTTTATTTTTATTATTTTATTATTTCCCTTCTACGTGACTTTACCGAAAGAACCAAGAAGAAGATATCACGTGGTTGTTTGAGTTCTTTTGAACTCTATTCACATCTACCAAGCTTCATCCCGGGTTGAAGCCCCTCTCCTCCCCCCCCCCCTCTCTTCCTTTCTAGCTGCTCTTCATCCGGCAGCCCCCCCCCCTCTCCTCCCTGCCCTCCCCTCTTTATCTATATAACCTCGTATTACGGGAGTCCTTCTACCCACTTCAGCAATTGTTTCTTGCTGTGACGGTTCCACCTGATGACGGAAGCTTGTGTTGCCTCCGAAACGTCGTTATTTTTATTAAATTTTTTATTTAACTTTTATTAATTTGAATTTTTTACCTACGTGACTTTACCGAAAAAAACCAAGAATATGAATCCTTGCAGTCACGAAAGCTTAAAATCTAGAATATATACACATATTTGTACCATCTTATCTGACAGGTACTATTCTACTTTACCGAGTGTTGACATCCCCAGCGTTTAACCAGTATTGGTTACTTTTATGCTTATTATGAGCTAACATCGGCCACAACCATGAGCCGATGTGCACCATTGTTAAATCCTTTATATTAAGTTCACTTACGTGCTTGCTTGCGCGCTTACGACCGTGCAAATCTTTCGGTCGTTTTTTAACCCACTTCCCGTGATCCAATCGAGCTGACAATTTGCACACAGACTCATTGTGCGTGACAATTTCTTTTCGTGAAAAATTTTTTCCCAAATTTTACACTTTTTAGGTAAAAAAAAATTATATTTAATTACCAATTGCTTAATGGTGGCAGGCAATCATCTGACCCATAGGTAGCAGCCATCTCAAGCCAGAGGACGAGAGGACTCTAGCCGCCCGTTTCAAAGACCAATGTGGGCTGGGTTGTGGCCCATTGAACACGCATATAAAGGATTTATAGTGAAAAACTTTGTTTTTATGGGTTAATTTTTTCTCTTTTCGCCCCGCTCCCGAGGACTCTTGGCTACCACATTCAGACAAGCCCCCCCTCCCCCCCTTAACTTGTATTTAAGGGCTTGCCTCTTGGATTTTTCTCCTCACTTGATACAGTAAATTCAGCTGTGACGGTCCCACCTGATGACGGAGACTTGTGTTGCCTCCGAAACGTCGTGATTTATTATTTTATTTCTATGATTATTTCTAATATTTTATTTATTTATTTTTACCTACGTGACTTTACCGAAAAAAACCTAAGAGTATTTACCGAAAGAACCAAAGAGTATGGATCCCTGCAGTCACGAAAACTTCAAATCTAGATTGAAGGTGTTATGGCTTTCGTACAGGGCAGTTGTAGCAAAGGGAGACTTGAGCTTGCACCAACCAGCTTACTTGCACAATCTCTAACTCAATTTTTTATTGCGCCTTTTACTGTCATGTTATATTTGCACTTTGTTTTATTGGCGCGTTGTACAATATCCCTAGTTCTCTGCAATATTTATGTGTTTGCAGGTTTTTCGTTGCTGCTGCTCTGCGTATGCACCACGGATCTCCCTTGTAAAGCAGTCGAGAAAACTGGATAAACTGGATCATCCGTGTTCAAATTTCAAATAAAGTAAAAGCAGTGGCTTTTCCGTACGTGCGTGGCCAATCGTGCGAAACACACGAATCAGTTCTAAATTATCTTCTTGGTTCTTCCGGTAAAGTCACGTAGAAGGGAAGTAATAAAATAATTAAAAAATCATTATTTTATTACTTCCAAGGTCTGTGGGGGAGAGAGCGTCTCCCCAACAGACCTGGTCTTCACCTGAGGACGGCTGCTTGCGTTGTGGCGGAAACGTCGTGAGAATTATTTTATTATGTTTTATTTTTATTATTTTATTACTTCCCTTCTACGTGACTTTACCCAAAGAACCAAGAAGATGAATCCCTGCAGTCACGAAAGCTTTAAATCGAAATTCAGTTCTAAATGAATGAGTTTTCAACCTTGGCCGGGCGTGGGAGGGGAGTAGCGTTAATTGAGAGGAGTGAGAAATCAATTCCATTGATTAGGTACGAAGTACATACGGCACAATCGTACGTGAGAATAAGATATATAAACTCTCACGCTTGTGAGACGAGATTCGTGAGTTGTCCAAAGTCTAACAACCCCCCGTGAGATAATTGTTTTTTTTACCCTTCTATCTGGCAACAAAACTGACACCTTTTTACAAGGAGTCATGTTTGCATAGACCACAATACATGCAGTCATAATGCAAACAAAAGAACATAACTCTGATAATGTGCACTGTCCTTGAAGTTGATTGGTCCACACCCGAGACAGCTTTCCTTAGAGCCTAGTCTCACATGGATTGGACCAGATGACGCCAAAAGGCGCACAACTCAAAGACAAGGAGTCTCTGGGCATCATCTCACCCCCCCCCACTCACCCCCCCACCCCCCCCCCACTCACCACCCCCCCACTCACACCCCCCCCACTCACACCCCCCCCCCCACTCACACCCCCCCCACTCACACCCCCCCCCCACTTACCCCCCCCCACTCACCCCCCCCCCACTCACACCCCCCCCACTCACCCCCCCCACTCACCCCCCCCCACTCACCACCCCCCCACTCACACCCCCCCCACTCACCCCCCCACTCACACCCCCCCACTCACACCCCCCCACTCACACCACCCCCCACCACCCCCCTACTCACCCCCCCACTCAACCCCCCACTCACACCCCCCCCACTCACCCCCCCACTCACACACCCCCCCACTCACACCTCCCCCACTCACACACCCCCCACTCACACCCCCCCCACTCACCCCCCCACTCACCCCCCACCACCACCACCACCACCCCGTGAGACTCGCGGCTGCTGACGCGGCCGGCATCAGCTGACTGGCACCTCCGCCCCGCGCCATCTTCACTGCTGCAGCAGCAGCATCTGCGGAGGAGGAGCGGGCACCAGCTGAGGGGGGCAGCAGGAGCAGGAGTGGCACCAGCTGAGGGGGCAGCAGGAGCAGCAGCAGAAGCAGGAGTGGCACCAGCTGAGGGGGCAGCAGCAGCAGCAGGAGGAGTGGCACCAGCTGAGGGGGCAGCAGCAGCAGGAGTGGCACCAGCTGAGGGGGCAGCAGCAGCAGCAGGAGTGGCACCAGCTGAGGAGGCAGCAGCAGCAGGAGTGACACCAGCTGGGGAGGGGGCAGCAGCAGGAGTGGCACCAGCTGAGGAGGCAGCAGCAGCAGGAGTGACACCAGCTGGGGAGGGGGCAGCAGCAGGAGTGGCACCAGCTGAGGGGGCAGCAGCAGGAGGAGGAGCAGGCACCAGCTGGGGGGGGGGCAGCAGCAGGAGGAGTGGCACCAGCTGAGGGGGCAGCAGCAGCATCAGGAGTGGCACCAGCTGAGGGGGCAGCAGCAGGAGCAGGAGTGGCACCAGCTGAGGGGGGGGCAGCAGCATCAGCACCAGCTGAGGGGGCAGCAGCAGGAGGAGCAGGCACCAGCTGGGGGGGGCAGCAGCATCAGCACCAGCTGAGGGGGCAGCAGCAGGAGGAGCAGGCACCAGCTGGGGGGGGGCAGCAGCATCAGCAGCAGCACCAGCTGAGAGGGCAGCAGGAGGAGGAGGAGGAAGCCAGTGGGGGGTGGTGGGGGGGGCAGGTGATGCGGTCCGGCTGGCTGCATTAATCCGTGTGGGACAAATCCACGTTCTCTTGTCAATCGTGGCTGTCACTTCACTCCTCAACATCGTCGATTTTATTCGATCTTCGCCGCTGAGTTGTCGATAAGAAGAAGTCAGCCCACTCCTCAATTCACACTCGGGTTTCTCGTGTTCCCTGCCCCGACCGCCTTTGAGTTTCGTGCTTTCACTCTTTGACTCGCTGTGTTGGAACAATTCGCAGCTAATGTCGATTCCATTCTTAAAGTTTCATTTTCTAATCACCGCTGCACGAAGGGCACAGCAACACTCAAGCGGCCCGTCAGCGCACTTAGAATCATCGCCCTTCTCCCCCAACCCTTTCCCTCCGCCTCGTAATGCAGATTGAGTCTTGCTATCGATTACTTTGTCGACAATTCACGCAGCTTGATGTACTGCACCTTCTTTAGCTGCTCGTGTGGCGGTTCAATAAGCATCGGGTTCGCTATCAATACACAACATCCCTCCGTAAGATTACAAACCTCTTTAACTCCCCCGTTTACTTTATAACCACTAGCGATAACCTCCCCTGCCTGCCCCCCTTAACTTCTGTTAACTCGCGCGTGAATAACAAACGCGCAAGTTTCGCCGCGTCACCATCACCATCCCAAGTCGATAAAACGACCTGACGCCCTTTATTTTCTCCGTAGAAAAGTTCATTGACGCACACAAAAAAGCCACAAGCCAAGTTAGAATAAAGAAAGCATCTGTGAAGACATCCCCATCGCTTAATAAGAGTGGGCCCCCCTTGTGGCTGGTCCGGCCACACGCAGTCAGCCAGAGACCCACCACCACCACCGAGCACCGACCATGGCGTTGAAGATCGTGAAGGGCAGCTTGGACAGAATGTTCGACAAAAGTCTGCAAGACCTCGTGCGAGGCATTCGAAACCACAAAGACGACGAGGTGAGTCGTTTGCTGCTGCTACTGTTGTGACGGCGACGGCGGCGACGACTCGGGTGGGTAGAGAGAAAGAGGGGAGTTTTTGCGTGGTCGGGGTGGGGAGGGTTGTCTTGGGGTTGGCTGCGGGGTTAGGGTGCACGTTCGCCGGCGGGCTCGGCAGGCGAGGTCGGGGCTTCACTTGAGGCCTGGTCGGGCTCGTGGGAAGTTTTTTTTGTGGGAATTAAAAGTGTGTGGGTTTGTGAGATCGGATGTGTTTATTGGGGTGGCGTTACAAGCTGGAACGATGCGAGGATGTTGCCATTGTGTAACTTGAGTCTGGGGAGGGTTTAATTGATTATTGTTTTCCTCCCCCCGTCCCAATATCGATGTGTGGTCTAGTGGAGTGGCCTGCCGGGTTGGGAGGGACCAGAGCCGCAGTCGAACTAGGAAACTGCGACGCTTCACTCGCGGCCTAGTCGGTGTATGGGGAAGTCATTAGTTTGCTACTTTTGAAAACTTTGTTTGAAGTTTGCTTTCTGAAAGAAACTGGTGTGGTTTATAGAGTAAAACAAAATTGGCGCGCATGCCCCGTGTTTGTACGTTGTGAGGCTTTGTAAACTCCAGTTTACTGAGATTTATTTATTTTTTAAGTTCCGTACAGTATTTGAGGTTCAGGAAATTGGGACGTGTCAGATCTTTAGGTTTCGGGCTGCCACGTTTGATGTGTTTAAATAGTTTTTTTAGGCGTTTTAACTTTTAGACGTTAGCAATGGACATTTTTTTATAACATATTTTCTGGTAGAAAACACATGACAGAAATATGCACTTTAAAGTATATACACTTGGATAGCTTTGACTCGTCAGTCTTCGTTGAAAGCAAATACCTTAAGCTGTTTATGCAACAATGCAGAATCTTAATAATGCGTTGGATTATAAACTGAAGTGAAATACTATTTGAGTGTTTAACCCGTAAGACCGTGTGGTTGTTTACTTATATACTCGTTAAAAGAGGCAGATGAGAGCGGGTTTCTGTGCTTTTGGAAATCCGAACTTGACGTGATTCCTTGTAAAAGATTTCAGTACGGTGTTTTAACATCTTAACAGCTGTTTTGTTGCCAGAAAAAAGGGGAAAACCTATTCACATATTTTGGTACTGGCAAAGGAAGAGGTCCCATGATATAAATGCTCACCCCGAGCTCTCATTACTCTGATAATGCGTTGTTTTTGGGCAGTACGCCTTTTGGCGTCCTCTTGTCTAACACCGGTTTGAGACTAGGCTCAAAAGAAAGCTCTCTCTGGTGTGGACCAATCAGTTTCAAAGACAATGCATATATTATCAGAGTACGTGTTTTGTTTGCAATCTGACCACAAGTATTGCGGTTAATGCAGACATGATTCCTTGTAAAAGGTTTCAGTTTGGTGTTTTAAGTTTGGTGTTTCAACATCATAACACATGTTTTGTTGCCAGAAAAAAATGGGAAAACCTATTCTCAAAAAATGAAAAGTTAAATAAAGATTTAATGAAAAGTAACATAGCAATAATACCTAAAAAACACTTTTTAAATCATTCGATACTGTTTGCTAGGGCATATGCTTCAGAAACATGAAATTTATTAAGTTAAAAGTGTGCCAGCTTCAACAATACCTAAAAATATAACACCATATGGCAGTATCCTCCTGAGCAAATACATTGTTAGACGAGGGTTACATTTCTTGCGTAATTAAAGCATTTGTGTTCAATACCGGAAGAGCTTTTCCTTTTAAAGATTACGTCATGGCCAGTATCAATAATATAATTATCGTTTAAATAACAGTACTGTATTTGGCTGCTATACATTTCCACATGATAAGCTACTTCGTTGAGCTATCATTTGTGACCAGGTCCCTTCTGAAAAATAACTAATAGCTCAGTGGGCTTTGCCTGGTAAAATAAAAATAAAATTGCGTTTTTGTATATTTATAGATTTTTTTTCGTGATTTGTTGATCTATTTCTGTACTGTGCACGCCTATCGTTGTTGTTGTATTGTCTGTTGTAACGTTTCTGACCCGCTCCGACTGAACGCATGTGAAAGAGCTTCATAGCTCATCGGATTTTCTCCAAGATAAGCAATAAATTTCGATTTAAAGCTTTCGTGACTGCAGGGATTCATCTTCTTGGTTCTTTCGGTAAAGTCACGTAGAAGGGAAATAATAATGTTTTATTTGTATTATTTTATTATTTCCCTTCTACGTGACTTTACCGAAAGAACCAAGAAGATAAGCAATGAAATTTGATTCTGAACCATGAACAATCTATTGCTTGATGAGAAGTTCCTCCACAAGGTTGAGACCATCTCATGGTCCTGCAATGTAAAACACAGCATGTTTAAACTCCTGTGCACGAGCCGATTTCAACGCTCACATCTCTTTGTGTAGATTTGGTCTTCGTGGTTCTCTTATCTCGGTCGGCTGTCGCTCGCTCAGTCGACAGTTTTGATCACCAAGCGTTGTCTGCGCAAGCCCACCGACTTTTTGTCATCAGTCAGTGCGACATCTCAAACCCCATGGTGCGTTCTCCCATCCACGCGTTCCACATCCTGGTTCTCAGTATAATTCCAAGCATGTAGCTTGGCGTATGCATGTACTTCTAGATTTGAAGCTTTCGTGACTGCAAGGATTCATACTCTTAGTTCTACGTGACTTTACCGAAAGAACTAAGAGTATGTATGCATGCACGTTTTAAGTGTTGATTTTACAACCCCCCAGCTCTCAGAAACCATACGTCAAGTGTTGTTTTTATAGTTTCTTTGACAAACGTCTGATCTCAAAAACCATAGGCCAAAATCAGGTCGAATACATCTAGACACTTATCAACGTGTGCGTTGCAATTGCGTAAACGTTACAAACAAGACCCACCCGAGGAATTGTTTTTCGACTTTGTGAACGTGTTTTAGTGTAAACAAAGCATTGCAATATCTTAAGACCTTGACAAATAGATATTTTTGTGGTGGCTAAGGAGGAAGAAAGCACTTTCTGAGACAGCACAGCAAGTAGGATACATATCTATATGGGTGGATATTTGAGTCTTCCCACCATTGTACGCACACCACTATTCCCGCACACAAAACACACAATCCTTCAGATGCAACCGGGTGTGTCTGTAGCTTTGGTAAGACTTTTCCTGGGTGAACAACTGCAGTTCTGGTGTTACGCAGAACCCTGTGAAAAAGGATGACTCATTGAGAAACATTTTAAAGTTGAACTAAAAAGGCCACGGCCATGTTAGCGTAATCCTATACAGGTAGTCCCCGAGTTACGATGGGGTCCGACTTCCGATATTTCGATCTTACGATAGCGATACGACAAAATTGCCATCAACAACCTAACATCGTTCAAGTGTGCAGACGATGGACAGAATCTTGGTGAGCAGAGTACAATGTGATACATTACGATACGTTCAATGCATGTATGATACGTAGCTTTAGCGATTAAATTTTAGGGTTACCACGATACGATACGTTCAATGCATGTTAAAAGTTTTTTTTATAGCAGATAGGATTGTTTCCTGAAAAAACTTTCTATTAAATTGCAGTTCATATAGGTAGGCTAAGAATTTACCTTGTTTTTTTTACTTTACATTTTACTGTGCAGTACAGTATTGTAATTAATAAATACATACGGTATATAGTTTATACAGTACGGTACTGTAAATTGCTCTGTTTTGCTAAATTATCACCGTTCTTTAAGACTCCTGGGTAGGCTAGGCCATCTTCGACTTCCGATATTTTAGACTTACGATGGGGTCGTTGTAACGCATCTCCATCGTAAGTAGAGGACTGCCTGTATAACCGTGTAATATACCAGTCCATGGGCTGATGGCAGTGTGGTTAGAGTAGCCGACTCCCAAAAAGCGATACGGTGTGCGTTTAAGTCCCAGTTTGGGGGTCGACTTATTTCATCCTTCAGTGCAGTTCAGAATAAAAATCTTTATTTTTGAACTTGGAGGAGGAATCCGATGAGCTATGAAGCTCTATTTCACAAATCTCCAATGTGTGGAGCGGGTGAGAAAGGAGTTACAACAGCAAACAGTACAAACAAAATACGATCTGAATAAGTAATGAACGCATGAATTATATAAGCCCGATTTTTATCTGGCTTCGGCACGGTAGCAAAACCAGCAACAAAACAGTCCCAGGCCACATCAAGATAACACGCTCGTAGTCCCTAAATAAAATGGCACATTAACATTGAGCCGTCGATACACAGGGTAAGGATCAAAGTTTCAATGGATGGGAAGTCGCCAGTGGTCATATCATGGTTGAATTTGGCCACTGGCATGAGAATGCAAATGATCCGCAACTGGTTCTGGGTCACTTCTGGAGATGAACACAAAGCATACAATGAATTCGGGTAACTGTAGCTTGAAATGTGTTGTATTATGAAAGTGCGCTCTGACAGGTTGAGTGTATGAGCTGCTCTCCACCTGAGGACGGCTGCTTGCATTGTGGCCGAAACGTCGTGAGAATTATTTTATTGTGTTTTATTTTTATTATTTTATTATTTCCATTCTACGTGACTTTACCGAAAGAACCAAGAAGATGTATGAGCTCTTTCGCACCGTACGTACGTAGCCAACCGTGCTAATCGGAGTGATTGTGCGGTGCTTGGCACCATGAACCTGGCCACTTGAGCTAGATTGCCAGTGTCGGTGGCGAAGTGATACCTGCAATGGCTATGTGAGCGCCGCCTTCGCCAACCTGCGCCGACCAGCGCGGTGAAATATTGTCAGACGACTGCCACGGTGGAGTGAAGCCTTCTTGCACAAGTGGAGTTACAAAGGGCCAATAACTGTAATCGTGCTTTGTAAGATCCATAGAAACAATTCATGATGACAATTTTGAGCTTCGTTACACTTGTAATGTGTATCCTATTTGTGAGAACGAGGCTTTTCTGTACCACCGGGCTCTCACGACTATGCATCAACGCTGTGGGTACCATTTCACGTAATCAATATATGAACGATGATAATGCGGTTGTTATGCAG